GTGAAACCCCTCAGCGCTTCTACCCGACCCCGGGCAAAATACCCTGGTGTCAAACAAGGGTCTTACGCTTCACCCAAACCCAAATACGGAACAGGGTCTGGAGAACTGTCCTGTTGCTCTCCATTTTCAAGGGTGAAACGTGATCCTTTCACCCCCCAGGCAGCTAAAAACCCTTCTCGCCTGGACAATCACTTCCAAATGACGGATTTGGAAACCTCCCTGCCATCTGTTCTTGATTCTGGAGGGGCTGTCTGGCGAAGCTTAACATGGTGGGGTGGCCTCCTCCACGCTCCTTCCCCGGGGCCTCCGTCCTCCCTTCCTTCCGCCCCATCTCCCAGCAAGCTGGCTGCTCGGAGACGAGACTTGGCAGGCAGTTTGAGGTCATCCCGAAGGGACCACTGTCCGTACCTGTAAGTTTGGAGGAAATGTTGGTCCATGGGGATGTCTGAGCTGGAAGAAAAACACCAAGTGGGAGTCAGATCCGTTCAGCTGGACCGAGACCTGTTGGGGAGGGAGAGTTGGAGGAGGCAGGGGTCAGAGGGAGCAGAGGAGTGGGATAGAGAGCCCCAGAAAGTGGCTGGCTGCGCACCCAAGAAGGGATAGGTCATCCAGAGTTTGCCCAAAGCCCATGCCCAACAGCAGATGCCAGAAACTGCCATCCTCTCTCCACGTTTCTCAGCCTTTATCTTGCTCAGGCTGCGTTACTCGGAAGCTTGAGAAGTGGGGTCCAGACGTGGGGCTGGAGGGACAGCTCTGGGACCCCTGCCACGGTGCCTGCCCACGCCTCTCATGTCCACGGCTGCCTTCTACTTGACCCTGACCACGTACCAGGCACTGACTATACAATTATCACCTCGTTTAATCCTCAGCCCTGCTCTCATAGGCTGGTTTTACTATCCTCATTTCACAGCTGGAAAAACTGACACTCAGTGGGGCTGAGTAATTTTCCCAAGGTCACACAGCTAGTCAGCAGTGGAGCTGGGATTTGAACCTGAAAGCTCCTTGGAGATGAGGACAGAAACAGTCACCTGTGCATCCCCGGTACGTAGCACAGAACCTGGCACAAAGCAGTGACACAATCCATATATGGTGAATGAATGAACAAATACACCTACAGCGGCTGTTATACATTCACCATACTGCATTTCCTTTTCCTCCAGGACACGCAGCTAAAACTACATTTCCCATCCTCCTTTGCAGCTGGGTGGAGTCATGTGATCAGTTATGGCCAATGGGATCTTGGCCAGGAGTGGCATGAACTACTTATGAACCTGGCTCATGAAAACCTCCTGCATAACTCTCACCCTCTCTCTCCCCATCCACCAGCTGGGGCAGAGCCACAAGGTGGAGGGAGCCTGGGTCCTTGAGTGACCGTGTGGAGCAGAGCCACACTGAACTGCGACATGAACGGGGAGTAAACTTTCACAGTAAAGCAAACTTTTATTTTAACAGGGCATCCTGATTGATCACACGCACACTGCCAAAATCAGAACTTGCTGTCAGCTTTCCAGGGCCCTCTTGCCACCTCCTCAGCCACCCCATACAGGATGCCTGCACTCTAACATTAAAACCCCTCCTCCCTCAGCACTCAGCCTCCAGACCTGGGACGTGGTGCTGTGGTTAATGGCAGCCCTCGCATCCACACTGCAGTCGAATGCTCCCTGGGGACTCCGTCTGAAGACAATGTCCCCGTCCAAACTCAGGGCCCGGGGGAACTTCAGCTGGGAAGAAACAGACAGCATCCTTTACTTTTGCCAACAGTTGAGCTGCACTGGGGGGGCCACAAACCAGCGTTTGCCTGATCCGGGGACGGTACCTGGGAAAAGTGAGCCGCGTCCAGGGCCAGGCGGTGCCGGACCTCCCCAGGCTGAGATCTGTCACGGTGCAAACCCTTTAAGTGCAGCATGACTTTCTGGTCGACTTTCAAAGTGGCCTCGACCTCCCTGTTCTTAGCCTGCGTGTGCAAGAACCAGTGGCACTGAGAGAGGTTACTTCCCGTCTCCAAGGGCCTGCAGAAGCCACCCTGGGAAACCAGCAGTGAGAAGAAAGTGGTCCCAAGATTGAGGAATCAAAGCACAGTCTACACTGTTCCACTCACAGGGCAGAAAGTGGGGACAGGGCACGTGGGGTCTTTCAAACAGGGATGGTAAGCTCCAGCGCCCAGAGGTAGGGGTAGAGGGGTGGGCTTGAGGGGGCAAACTTGAGGGCCTGTGTCTCATTCAAAGGGGGTGCCCTGGTATGAGCCTGTTTTGTTCACTGCTGTATTCCTGACACTCAGCACAGGTCCTCGCGCATAGTAGGTGCTCAGTCAATATTGGAAGAATACAGAATCACTAGTTATAGCCTGAAACTCCAAGGGTAAAGCTATGCCAAGGTGGAAACAGGTTTAATTCCTAGTGTGGCAGGGAGAATAATACCCATGCTCCCACAGATGTCCACACCCTAATCCCTGGAGCCTGTCAATATGTCACCTCACAGGGCAAAAGGGACTGTGCAGTTAAGGATCTTGAGATGGAGAGATTATTCTGGATTACCCAGTAGGCCCAAGGTAATTACAAGAGTTCTCATAAGAGGGAGGCAGGAGGGCACAGTCAGAGAAGATGCTACTCTGCCGGCTTTGAAGACGGAGAAAGGGACCACAAATCAGAAACGCAGGCGGCTTTTAGAAGCTAGAAAAGGCAAGAAAACAGATTCTCCCCTGGAGCCTCTGGGCGGAACGTAACCCTGCCGACACCTCGATTTTAGCCAAGTGAAACTCATTTTGGACTTCTGTTCTCCAGAAATGTAAGATAAATTTGTGTTGTTTTAAACCACAAAGTCTGTAGTAATTTGTTATAGCAGCCATAGAAAACTGGTACACATAGTTAATCATTTATTCACTCAACAACTATTTAGCTTCTGCCACGTGCCAAGCACGCAGCAGCAGGTTGCCATCTTTTCCCATCTGTGTTGGCTGAGAAGTTAAAAATGTCTCGCCACAGGATTTTATTATTGGTGTACATCTTTTAAAGAACACATGGCTTTATTTTAGAACCAAGATGGAGGAGGAACAAAGATCCCAGAGAAGAGAAAAACGGTTGTCATTCAACAAAGACAGGGTTTTAAAAAGGACAGCCAAATTAAACTAAACCAAAGGACCCCATCTGCCTGGTTCTAGCCTGTTGTCAGGCGGGATTTTAGGCCCAGTGTGTCAGATCTTCTGATTTTTTTTTTAATTAGAAGCAGAAATCTTGGTTTTATCCCAAATCTTCTGATTTTAAATGTTGACAACTGATTTTTTTACAAAATGTAAATGCGAAGCAGCCCAAACCAAACACACCTGCAGGTTGCAGTGGGCCCGTGGCGCCATTCTGCAATCTCCGGTTTACAAGACAGTAAACACCACGGGGAAACGCTTCCGCAGGGGTTTGGGCTGTCATCCTGCCCTACTTCCCTGCAGGAGCTCCAGGGACTTCGGCTACCAAACCTCTGGGAGCCATCTGCAGCCCTGTCTATCTGGTGGGGAAGTGGAGTTCCAGAAGGACAGGTCTTGGCGCTCAGCAGCTGGCCCGGATTCACCCGCCTTCCAACAGCGCTTTGTACGTCCTGCAAGGGAGAAACCACCACCACCTTCCTTGTCCAGGGCCTGGCACACAGCTGGTGCTCAATAAATGCTTGCTGGAGAATGAGGTTAGGCCCAGGAGCTTCTAGCCCTGGAGGGTCAGGAAGGAGACTTGGACGAGGGCCTAGGAAGCATGTCTTAAGTACTCGAGAGAGATTATTATACTACATTTCGATTCTCACAACCACTGCATGAGAGATGAGTACTGCTGTGTCCATTTTTAGATGAAACCGAGGTCCAGAGACATGAAATAATTTGCTAAAAACACATAGGCAAAAACGAGTTTCACTCCTAGGAAGACTCAGGCCGAGACCCTCTAATCAGGGCTCAGGAAACCACGGCCCAAGAGCCAAACCCGGCCTATTCTTGTAGATAAAGTCGTCTTAGTTCAGGCTGCTATAACAAAAATACCAGAGACCAGGCAGTTTAAACAACAGAAACTTATTTCTCACGGTTCTGGAGGCTGGAAGTCCGAGATCAGGGAGCCAGCCTGGGCAGGTCCTGGTGAGGGCCCGCTGCCTGGTTTGCAGATGGCCGCCTTCTCGTTGTGTCCTCACGTGGTGGAGAGAGAGAAAGGGTTGGTTCTCTTCCTCTTCTTATGAGGACACTGATCTCATCACAGGGGCTCCACCCTCGTAACCTAATCTCCTCCCAAGACCCCACCCCCAATGCCGTCACATTAGGGCCTCGACAGAGGAACCTGGGGGCGACACAAACATTCCATCCATAGCGTTAGCAGAACACAGTCGTGCCCTTCCCTTGTGTATTTTCTAGGTGTCGCTGTGCAGAGGTGAGTAGCTGCAACAGAGACTGTCCGGCCTGCAAAGGCTGCAACAGTCACTATCCAGTCCTTCACAGAGGGAGCTTGTCCACGCTGCTCTGGGTCAGGTACGCAGTGGATTTTCAACAGCACCAAGGCAACATGATTCATTAAGCACTGACTATGCGCCCGGCCCCGCGGCTACCATGGTGAATAAAGCAGACGGGGCACCAATCACGGATCTTACAGACTGGCAGAGGGGCAGCAGTTGGTCAAAGAATCACACGAAAATAGAACCGGGGTTTGGGGCAGGTGCCAGAAGCAAGAGGCACAGGGTAGGGAGGAGGTGTGACTAGGGGCATGAGGTGGGCTGGGGGTCAAGGAGAGCTTCCCAGCAGAGACGATGCTGGAGCTGATGATGAGAAGGGAGGGAGGCAAAGCTGAGGAGAGAGTGACGCTCCAGACACAGAGCACAAAGGGCCTGGGGCAGGAAGGACCCACGTGCGGAAATAAAGGAGGCTGGGTAAGCTGAACGCAGGCCTCAGGTGAGGCGGGAGGGTCAGCCAGGCTGGAGGGTCAGGGCTGGGGTCGTTATCCCAAGACAGGCTGGGAGGATTTTCAAGCGAGGGAGTGACATGATTACGCCAGCATGATGAAAAGATCCCTCTGGCTGTCAAGCGGACTGGAGCAGGGGGACCGAGTGGAAGAGAAAACCCAGCAGGAGAGGGATTCGTTGGTCCGGCGGAGAGATGGCAGCCGCCTGAATGGGGACCGCCGCGGTGGGAAGGTCTCTGGGGTGTTCTCACTTACGGTGTGTCGACTCCACGTAACCGCGCACCCCTCCAGGCTCCCGGGGATGGCCGTGCCGCTGTAGGGGTGGGTCAGGCCTGCACAGACCTGGGAGGGACAACCACACACCTGCACACAGGCAGAGACGGGGCAGATGGGGCCTCCCTCCCGCTCTCAGGCCCCTTCCCAGCCGCACCCTGGAGCCCACTCACATAGGGGTGCCCCGCCTGGTAGCCCAGGACGATGGTCTGCAGGGTCTCCTCTCGGCCATTCAGGACAACCCTGGTCTCCAGGGAGGACCGCTGCTGCTGCTTCTCCACCGTGAACGTCTCCTGCAGGAGCAGGCTCTGCGGGCCTGGCAGAGCCAACGGGTGCCTGGCGTGGAGACGGGAAAATGGGCCAAAGCCATTAAAGCAGCCGGCGGGGTCGGGGGACAACTGTGCCCGTGGGCTCAGACTGCGCCTGTCACTGTCTTGCAGAGTTAAGACTTTGTCACAGAGAGGAGAACATCAGGCCACACGTCAGTCCTGTGTGTTACAATTTGCCAATCGACACCCATTCGCCATCTCGCTGTGCTCTCTTGACAACCCAGTGAGCTGGGCACAGCTGGGGTCACCGTCACCACCTGGCAGCACACACCCAAGGGACAGACAGCACACGAGGTCTGGAGGCCCACAGACTGGGCCTGGAGTCCAGGCTCCGCCTTTCACCAGCCGTGTGACCTTGGGCAGCAAAGGACTTGATTGACCTTTCCGTACCTCAGTTTTCCCATCTGTAAAATGGGGCTAAAATAATAACAGCCATCTCACTTGGTGGTTGGGATCTTTAGAGATAACCTGTGTGCAGTGAACGCAAGCTCCCGAGGGCAAGCATTTCTGTCCTGTTCACTCTCTGCTGTTTTCCACATGCCCAGAAAAGTGCCTGCACACAGTAGGTGCCCAATAAGTATAAATGAAATAAACAAATGAATGAGACCTTTGCAAACCACAGCCACTGTTACTTTTTGGTTACTGCTGTTGTCGGACAGATGACTGAGGTCACCCAGGTGGTCACTACACAGCCTGGGGTTCAGGCCAGGTCTGCTGATCGACCCCGTGCTGTTCTCCGCACACACACACAACAACCTTTTCAACCTCTGGGAACTGAAAAGATTCCGCAGAGCAGCTTTCAGGCTGGGGCGACGAGACTCTGATCTCTGCTCCCAGCCCCACATGCTCACGGAAGGGGCTAGGGGTGCGGGGGGCTTTCAAGGCAGGCAGCTCGTCTCCGAGCTCTGGGCTCTGTCTGGGCCCCGCGGGTCAGCGTGGGCCTCTGCAGGGAGCACTGCACGCCCGGGTCCCCTGGTCACCCTCACGGGAGAAGGGGAGACCGGGGCAGGCACCACACCTCAGTGGACTTGGCCTGGGGACAGGGCCGCACGTACCTAAGGAGGAAGGTCCCCCGCTTCCGGTACAACACGCTGTCGTGGGTCAGCTCCTCCAGCTCACCCTCCAACTGCAGGCCCTGAGGCTGGCCCCCAGCACGGGTCCCCAGAGCCATCAGCGACACGTGGGTCTTCCGGGGCTGCAGCAAGAACCAGGCCGATGGGGAGGACGGCCGGCAAGCACCATGCAGGATCATCCTGCTCCCACTGCCCACCCATCGCCCCCAGAATGACCACCCGAGAAGGGCTGCTGAACCGGCCTGCAGCTGCCACCCTGATCAGACCACGAGATGGCACAGGCACGCTGCGGTGCCCAGACCTCCCTGGGCACCCAGCCAGGAACAAGGAACTTGGGCTTCCGGCTCCAGAAGCCGAGTTTTGCTCCACAGTCTGTGCTAATATGGGGTCCACTTTACAGATAAAGAAACTGAGGCTCAGGGAGGGCCCAGGTCATAGGCTGAGTTGGTGGCACAAAGCCCTTCGCATCCCGGGTGGGGGACGCCGGGTCTCTCAGTGACGGAGCCTCCAGCACTGGCTGCCTGGACGCGCACCTGCTCCGCGTGCCTGTAGGCCGCCGTCAGGTTCAGCTCCCGCCGGGGGCCCTTCAACCAGCAGTGAAGGGTCTTACGGTCCCGGCTGTTCTCAGCCCGGATCTCGCTCTGCACTGCCGCACTCCAGGCGGATTCCACCTCACTCCAGCTGCGGAAGAGGCTCCGTGCCAAGGTCATCACCGTGGAAACCTGCAGTGAGGCAGGGGACGGTGACCATGCACACCCTATTCCGTCCCCCTGCATTGCCCTTATACACAATTCCCACTTGGTGAACTCCTACTCATACTTCAAAACCCCTCCAATGCCATCTCTGCAAGGCCTTTCCTGACTGGTCCAGGCGGAATTGGTTGTGCCCTCCAGGGTCTTGAGGAGAATCGCCTCTCCATCTCCCAACCCTGAGCAGACATGACTCCCTCCCCTCTCCTCTTCAGCTCAGGGAGAGAATATGATCTCACTGCGCCACTATGACTAGCGGCAGGATCTGTGCCCTGAGGGGCACATGTTGCGGGTGGCCTTCTGCCTCTGCCTCATTTGTGGTCTTCAGACCCAGGAGGAGCTGGGTGTTACTCTGGCTCGTGTTGGGGCTCAGGGAGGTAGAGGACTTCAGCCTTGCACTGGGCAGGGCCCCCAGCTCACGCCCCAGCACAGGCCCCGCTAGGAATATCATGGAGCCCTGTGCCCTGTCGGCTGCTGTCCCTGTTCACACAGCTCGCTCAAGGGCCTCAAGACGAGAGGCGATGGGGCCAAGGGGGGGCTGAGCATTACCGACCCTCCCACCGACTACTGGAACTCCCTAACGCCGCGTCCTGGATGTCACTGACCCTCAGCGTGCCCCCAGACCCTGTGGGCCCCTCGCTGCTGGCTTCCGTATTTCAGCAAATGTACTTCCTTGCCCCCAGCTGCTTGGGCCAAAACCCTGGGGTCATTTGTCTCTTCTCCCTTGCTCCCTCCCCACTGCCAATCTGCCAGCAGATCTGTCCGTCAGTAAGTCCGTCAGCTCCACCTTCAAACTAGTCCTGGAGTCTGGACACTTGATGCCACCTCCACTGCCGCTGCCCCGGACAGGCCACCTTCACGCCCTCCGGCTCGGTCAGCTGCAGGAGCAGGTGCGCTGACCCTGCCTCGCTCTCCTGTCTTGGCTCCGCCACCCAGAGGCCTCCTCAGGTCCCTACGCTCGCCAGGATGGCCCTGCTCCTCCTGATTCTGCCCTGGTGCCACCGGGCCCCAGCCTCAGAGGGGACTGTGCTGTCCCCAGACGGGCCCAGTGAGCTGCCTCCTTCCAGACCCCAGTCAGGCCTGGACCACCCCGTGTCTGCAAGTCATCCCAGCACGGGCAGAGGATTCATGTGCTGGGCTCCCTCGTGTGACACCAGGGAAGTCCCTCTCGGGAGATAACGCTGGTTGGTTTTCTTCCAAACCCTGTTATGCTTCTGTGATCAATTATGCGCTAAAAGGCGTACTTAATGACGCTCAGCAGTTGGTATAAAACTGACCTACATTCTGGTTTTTGGGAAAAGCCCAACGTCTACCTGTTTCCAAGGTACCATTCAACCTGCTTGCACATTTTTCTTTATCAGCTGCTAAGCAAGAATATGGGAAAGCGAGATTGATTTTTGGGTCCACTCTTCCAAATTTACTTGGCAATTAATTCTGAAGGTTGTAAACACTGGATGAGCCGAACTTCACACATCTGTGACCTGGTATCGGCCCACGGGTCAGGGTTTCCACCCTCTGCAGGGAAGACCTACATGGCAGGGAGGGAATCGCGCTCCTGGGCTGGGGGCCGACCGGGGGAGGGGGAGCAGGGGGCGTGGCCGAGCATGCGCACCCGGAGGTAAGTGGTCGCTGGGGTGTAGATGTGGATCTTGCCCTCCCTGGCGAGGCCCTGGCCCCTGCAGGCCACGTTCATCACCAGATTCTTGAGAGTCCAGGCCTTGCCCAGCGTCAGCTCCAGGCCCGCCTGGAACGTGGCTCGATGAGGCCAGTACAGCCTGTGAGCCGCAGAGACCATCAGCCACGGACTGTCCAGGGTCAAGGCTCCTGTGAGAGGCAAAGAGGGAGAAGCCGGTGTCCCAGGTATGAAGGGAGCTTTTTAGCAGGTAGCAAGAGGCTCCTATAGTCTCATCACAGCCATTGTAGGCATATCTCAGAACTGGGACTGACTGGGATGGGGCAGGATGGAACTTTCTAGAACGATGGTCATGTTGTGAATCTTGACAGGGGCTTGGGTTACGCAGGTGTGTGCGCCTGTCCAGACTATTCTTGCACCCTGAGTGCAAGAAACAGGGGCTGTGACCCAGAGGGGACATGGAAGGAACGCCCAGGATAATGAAGGGTGCCTCAGGACCACGCTGTGCCACTGGTATACCTTGGAGCAGGACAGTAGCTCCAGGAAGAGGGTCTTCAAGAAAAATATGAGGACTAATTGAAGCTGATAAATAACCTGATGTGTTTGACCATCTGGAGAAGAGTTTTACACTGTGGCTGAAAATTCCGGGAATAATTAGGAGGAGGAAAACAGAAAACTAATCAAATAGGGGAAAAAAAGGCAATCATAACTCCAGGAAAAACAAAAAGTTAGAATCATAGAACACCATGTGTCTTGGCTATGAAGGAAATTTATAGAGTCCCAATTATGTAAACACTGAACATAATAAAATGTCCCAATTATGTAAACATTGAACATAATAAAATGTAACTCTTTTAGGAGGATGGAAGGAAACAGATATTTGAAAGGGGCTGGATTAAGAGTTAAACTCTCATCCTCTCTAGTGAGAAATTTATGGAGAATACCTAAAAGAAAACTCAAGAAATAATAGCATGATTACATTATTTTAAAAGATAGAGAGTATAACAAGAAACAGCTAAAAGAATTTACAGTGGTTGCTGTTTTAGGCAAAACTTGGGATAGGAAGACATAAAGCAGAGAATTACTCTATTTGTTATAAACAAACTTTTTAAAAACTTTAAAAAATTTATTTTAAGTACATACATGAGTAGAGGGCATAATATGATGAGCCCCCATGTAACACTCACCCACCTTCAACCTTTACTGACTCATAGTCTAATTCATTTTTCAAACTATGTATTACTTCAATAAAAATAAAAATTAATTCAAGGATAAACTATGGTAAATCTACCTTTTTTTTAAGTGAGAGAAAGAGTGTTCCAAGGAGAAAGCACAGCAAGTGCAAAGGCCCTGAGGTATGTTTGGGGAACAGAAAAGAGGCCAGTGGTGCTGAAGGATAATGGGCACCGGGGAAAGTGGAGTGAGATGAGGTTGGAGAAGTAGGCAGGGGCCTGTAGCATAGAGCTCTCTCGGCGAGGGTGAGAAGTCAGGATGTAATTGTGAGTGTCATGGGACACACTGAAGGTCTGAGTATTGAGTTAGCCAGGCAAGCGAAAGGGAAGGGTGTTCCAGGTAGTGGGCATGGCTTGAGCAAAGGCTTGGAGGCCAGAAATCTTAACTGCTAGCCAAGGATGCTCCCTAGAAGACACTCACCTTCCCACTTCCACAGGGTGGCCCGGGATGTGTCCTTCCACTGCAAGCCTGCCACGAAGGGCAGCCGCCCGTTGTACTGCACCTTCAGGAACGTGCTGCTCTCCACGTGGGGCTGGCGGAGGCTCAAGTGGTGCAGCTGCATACGGCAATCCACCTGCTTCACGGGCACCTGCAGCACAAACTGGAGGAGACCCAACCCAGGATGCTAACCAGATCAGGCCACTCACCACCTAGAACATTCCACTGGCTCTCCACTACAGCCAGGGGTCGGCCTGAGGGCCCTGGCTATCGGGAACTGCCCCAGCCCACCCCAAAAAGAAACCCTGCACCCATTAGCAGTCACTCCCCAATGCCCCTTATATTCCTGGAAACCATTAATCTATTTTCCATCTCTATGGATGTCTCTATTGCATCCCTATTCTGGACATTTTACATAAATGGAATCATACAGTATATGGTCTTGTGTGTCTGGCTTCTTTCACTTAGCATGATGTTTTCAAGGTTCATCCATGTTGTAGTATGTATCAGAACTTCATTCCTTTTTATTGCTGAGTAATATTCTATTGTGTGGATAAATCACACTTTATTTATCCACTCATCAGTTCACGGACATGTGAGTTGTTTCTACTTTTTGGCTATTATGAATAATGCTGCTATAAATGTTTGTGTGCAAGTTTTGCTTGGACATTATGTTTTCAATTTTCTTGAGTACCTAGGAGTAGAATTGCTGAGTCCTATGGTACTCCTGTGTTTAACATTTTAAGGAACCACCAAACTGTTTTTCCAAAGCGGCCACACCATTTTATAATCTCACCAATAGATGATGGTTCTGATTTCTCCACATCCTCACCAACACTTGTCCTTGTCTGTCTTTTTAAATTTTAGCCATGCTAGTGTCTATGGAATAGTATCTCATTGTGGTTTTGATTTGCATTTCCCTCATGACGAATTGTGTTGAGCATCTTTTCATGTGCTTATTGGCCATTTGTACACCTTTTTTGGAGAACTATCTATTCAAATCCTTTGTCTTTCTATTGCTAAGTTGGAAGAGTTCTTTATATATTCTGGGTATAAATCCTTTATCAGATACATGATTTACAAATGTTTTCTTCCATTTTGTGGGCAATTTCCTTTCTTGATGGTATCCTTTGAAGCACAAGTGCTTTTAATTTTGACCAAGTCCAATGTATCTGTTTTTGCTGTTATTACTTATACTTTTGGTGTCATATCTCAGAAACCCTTGCCTACTTCCAAGGTCATAAAGATTTACCCTTACATTTTCTTCTAAGAGTTTCATAGTTCTTAAAGTTAGGTCTGTGATCTGTTTTGAGTTAGTTTTTATATATGGCGTGAGGTAAGGGTCCCACTTCATCCTTTTGCACATGGATACCAGTTGTCCCAGCACCATTTGTTGAAAAGACTGTTCCTCCCCTCTTCAATTGTCTTGGCATCCTTGTCAAAAATCAATTGACCGTAACTATAAGGATTTATTTCTGGGCTCCCAATTCTACTCCATTGGTCTATCTGTCTCTCATTATGCCAGTGCCACACTGTCTTAATTACTGTAGCTTTGTCATAGGTTTGGAAGTTGGGAAGAGGGAGTCCTCCAACTTTGTTCTTCTTTTTCAAGACTGTTTTGTCCATTCTGGGTCCCTTGCAATTCCCTGTGAATTTTAGGATCAGCTTGTCAATTTCTGCAAAAAAGACAGCTCAGGTTTTGATAGGGATAGCTAGGGACTGTTGAGTCTATGGATCAATTTGGGAAGGACTGTCACCTTCAAATTAAACTTTCCAATCCAAGAACATGGATGTCTTCTCATTTATTTAGGTTTTTAAAAATTTCTTTCAATAAGGTTTTACAGTTTTCAGAGTATTAGTTTTAAATTCTTATGTTAAATTTATTCCTAAGTATTTATTCTTTTTGATGCTGTTGTAAATGGAATTGTTTTCTTAAGTTCATTTTCAGGTTTTTCATTGCTAATGTAATCCAACTGATTTTTGTATATTGATCTTGTATTCTACAACTTGAGTGAACTCATTTATTAGCTCTAATAGGTTTTTTGCGGATTCTTTAGAGTTTTCTATACACGAGATCATGTCATCTGTAAATAGAGATACAGGTATAACTCGGATATTGTGGGTTTGGTTCCAGACCACCACAATAAAGAAAATATTGCAATAAAGCGAGTCACACGAATTTTTTGGTTTCCCAGTGCATATAAAAGTTATGTTTACTCTATACTGTAGTCTATTAAGTGTGAAATAGCATTATTCTCAAAAAACAATGTACATACTTTAATTAAAAAATACTTTATTGCTAAAAAATGCTAACAATCACCTGAGCCTTCAGCAAGTCGTAATCTTTTTGCTGGTGGAGGGTCTTGTAAAAAATGCAGTATCTGTGGAGTGCAGTAAAGAGAAGCACAATAAAATGAGGTGTGCCTGGAGTTTTACTTCTCTCACTCCAGTCTGGACGCCTGAGGTTTGCAATGAGGCAGACTGGAATTTAAACCCCAATTCTGCCACACAATAGCTGTGAGAGCCCAGACGAGTCCATTTCCCCAATTTCTTATCTGGAAAATGTGGACAGATAATGCTTACCTCATAGGGATTAAATGAGATAATACAAACGACGTGTCTGACACATGGTCTGGCAATAATACATGGCCCATCATTGCTCACTCTGCCTTCCCGGTCCTACTCACTGTCAGCGTCTCAAGGATGCTTAAGAAGGTTATTTTATTCATATTTGTCTCCCCAAACCTAGCGTGGCATCTGCACACTTCGAAAGCCTTGCGTTCATGCTGCCACAGGTCTCCAGTCTCTTCACTAAAAGCCTTGGGGCAGGTGTTTTACAGAAATAAGAAATGTTCACAGCTTATTTAGAATAGTAATATGATGCACATACTGCAATTATATATTAAAAAGTCAAGTATTCTAATTTTTTTCAAATGTCAAACAATACGAAACAGCAGTTCACAGAAGAGTAACGCAACGGTAGAAGAAATACACAAAAAGATGCTGTTCAGCCTTACTAAGTAATCAGGGAAATGCAAATGCAAACAATGAGATACGATTTCCACCCACATCAGCAATATTTTGCAGATGGTAAAACTCATGCATTGGGGAGAGTATGGAAACTGCTTCTCTCGGACGTGGCTGGGAGGTGGGTGATTGGTACAGACATTTTGGAGGGCAAATTGGCAAAAGCCAAATTACAAACGCACAAATTCCATAACCAAAAACTCCACATTGTGACATCTGCCCTAGAGACCTTGTCACACATGTGCCCAGGGAGACATGCGCAAGGATGCTCAGGCATATATTAGAACCCAGCAAGAGTGAAATGGCCAAATAAAATGCAGTATAGCCATATATGGAACGTGATGAAGGGGTTTAAAAGAATAGAGCAGATCTCTATAAAAGAACACAGAACATTCTCCAAGAGCCATTGTTGAAGGACGCACAGCAAGACGCACCAAACAAAACAGTGTTTGTGATGGATCCACAGAGCAAACAAATAGAAAAAGATCTCATCTCCAGGGCCCCAGACTATAACCAAGGTTCCCTCTGGGCAGCTGAGGAGGGGACCAGGATCGGGGATGGTAACTGTGAAAGGCATTTTAGCCTTATTTCAAACGTTATACTTTTTTTCACAAGGAGAATTTATTCACGTAGGATTGGTATCATTTAAAATCAATTTAATACTTAGGAATGAAGTTCCTAGGGGGGCAGAAGACTTGTACACTGAAAACTACAAAAAAAACTTGCTGAAAGAAATTAAAGAAGACACGAATAAATGGAAAGACATCCTGTGTTTATGGATTGGAAGACTTAATGTTGTTAAGATGTCAGTACTACCCAAGGCAATCTATAGACTTATTGTAATCCCTATCAAAATCCCAATGTTTTTGTTTTTTTTTTTTTTGGCAGAAGTAGAAAAATCCATCCTAAAATTCATATGGAATCTCAAGGGATCCCAAATAACCAAAACAATCTTGAAAAAGAAGAACAAAGTTTGAGGTCTCACAAAGAAACAGTAATCAAAATAGTATGGTAGTGACATAAAAACAGACATAGAGACCAAGGAAACAGAACAGATTGCCCAGAAATAAACTCGCACATTTATGGTCAAATGATTTTCAACAGGGGTGCCAAGCCTGTTCAGTGGGGGAAAGGACAGCCTTTTCAACAAATGCTGCTGGGAAAACTGGATATCCACACGCAACAAAATGAATTTGGACCCTTATCTTATACCATATACAAAACTTAACTCAAAATAGATCAAATACCTAAATATGAAAGCTAAAATTCTAAAAGTCTTAGAAGAAAACATGGGATTGAAAAGGTTCATGTCACTGGATTTGACAATGATTTTTTGAATATGACACCTAAAACACAGGAAACAAAAGTAAAAATAGATAAATTGGACTACATCAAAATTAAAAACTTTTGTGCGTCAAAGGATACTACCCATAGAGTGAAAAGGCAACCCACGGAATGCGAGAAGGTATTTGCAAATCATATATCTGATAAAGGGTTAATATCCAGAATATATAAAGAACTTGTACAACTCAACAACAATAATAAAACAAATAACCTGATTCAAAAATGGGCAAATGACTTGAATAGACATTTCTCCAAAGAAGATACACAAATGGCCAATAAACACATGAAAAGATGCTCAACATCATTAACTGTTACAGAAATGCAAATCAAAGCTATGAGATACCACCTCATACCGATTAGGATGGCTACTATCAAAAAAAACCCAGAAAATTACAAGTGTTGGTGAGAACGTGGAGAAATTGGAACCCTGGTGCACTGATGGTGAGACTGTAAAATGGTGCAGCCACTATGGAAAACAGTATGGCGGTTCCTAAAAAAGTCAAAAACAGAATTACTAGATGATCCGGCAATTCCGTTTCTGGATATACACCCAAAGGAACTGAAAGCAGGGATTCAAACAAATATTTGTACACCTGTGTTCATAGCACCATTATTCACAAGAGCCAAAAGTGGAAGGCAAGTGTCCATCAATGAATGAATGGATAAACAAAATATGGTCTACCCTCACAATGGAACATTATTCAACCTTAGAACGGAAGGAAATTCTGAATATGCTACAACATGGATGAACCTTGAGGACATTATGCTGAGTGAAATAAACCAGTCACAAAATGGAACATTCCATTTATATGAGGTACCTAGAGTAGTCAAATTCATAGAGACAGAAAGTGGAATGGTGATTTCCAGGGACTTGGGGGAAGGGAGAATGGGGAGTTACCATTTAATGGGGACAGAGTTTCAGTTTCACGAGATGAAAAAGTTCTGGAGATGGAGGGTGGTGATGGTTGCACAACACTGTGAATGTACTTAATGCCACTGAACTCTACACCTAAAAATGGTGAAAACGGTCAATTGTGTGTTGTATATATTTTACCACAATTAAAAAATTTTTTAAACAATTTAAAAAGAAACACACAAAGCTAAGCGTGTGCTTTCTAAGAGCACCTCACCCGTCCAGGGGCTAAGCGCTCGGTTATTCCAGACTTACCAAGACAGCTCCCCCTCCAGTAAAACCTGCAAGTGAACCTGTTTCCAAAATGCACTTTTCACAGCTGGAAATATGCATTTCCCAAGCCCCCTGCAGATAAGAGATTGCAAACAGCCTCACCTCCACGAAGTAATTGCTCAGTGCTGGGCCCGAGTCGTTCTGGAAGGTCTGGCTGACGCGGAGCCGTCTCGGATTGCTGCTCTCAGCCCAGTGCCGCCCGTAGCTCGCCTGCAGCTGCCAGTGCAAGTGGCCCGAGCCATCCTCGTGCCGGAGCTGGACCTGGGGACACACCCACCAGGGAGACCCGAAGGAAGCCCTGTCTACCCAGTGCTGGGCCTCCTCACTGCCACCCACCCAGGGGCGCAGGCTTGCTTCTCTGGGGAGACAGTTCTGGAGGAGGTATGGATTTTTTTGCCCTGATTTTGATTTTGTAAAATATTGCCTTAAAATACGATCCTCCTTCATGACTGCGTCTCTGGTGCCCCCTTAAATTCTGAGCCCAAGGCGAGGGCCTCACTCTGGTCCAGGCCCTGATAAGCAGCCCTAAGAGCCAGCAGCCGTGGGAAGATGATCCCTGATCTGCTTCACAGAAACCCAAGAACCCTTGCTCCCACGGCAGCCTCTGGCTCCCTGGACAGAACCTGAGTGATCAGTGTTGCACACCTGTGGGTCCCTGCTGCCTTCTCCCACCTCTGAACCACAGGTGGAGGCAACACAGGCTCATCCATTTATTCATTCATTGAACACATTTTTCCCAAGTACCAAGTAGGTGCTAAGTATAGCACTGTGCACCACATACCTGGGAATGAAGGAACCAGAAGACCCCGCCCTCGTGGGGGCAACAGTACAGTGGCAGAGGCAAACTTGAAACAAGTAAATTAACAAAAGAACAGCTGCTTCTCCCTTTTGCTCACCCTGCCAGCCACTCTGGGGAACTGCCGGCTCCTTAACTGTTCCATTCTCCCTTCCGCCCCAGGACCTTTGCACTTGCTGCTCTCTCTGCTTGCAGCATGCTTCCATGGGAACAGAACTGTTTCATGTTTTAATTTTCAGCTTAAAATTTGTTTTTCCCAAAGAAGCCTTCCCTGTTGCCCAGCCAAATTAGACTCCCCTTGTTATGGTCTCTCAGTCTCTGCCCCATTTACCACCCATGGCAGTTAACTCTCCCTTGATTTGGTCTGTGTCTCTCATTCTGCCCCTGCCCAGCAACAGGATGGCAGAGATCAGGTTCTGCCTTGTGCATAGGTCTCCCCCAGGTGCTGGGCATACAGCAGGTGTTTAATAAAGACCAACTGAACAAATGGATGGAAAACTGAGACAGAAGTTCCCATTCCAGATTGGTTCCCATCCGTGACCTTGAGCAAATCTATCTTTGAGGATGAGTTCAGGGTGCTCACACCACCCCTTCCCTGACCGCGGGGCTCTCTCCAGACTCCCCGCCCGCCCCAGGCACCCACCTTGTGGCTGAAGGCTGGGAGCTGCGTGCAGTGGAGCTCGTGGTCCAGCTCCAGCTTGTAGGCGCCCTCTGGGCTACTCTCCGCCCGTAGCTGCTGGCCGGTGCTGCACTCCTGCGCCAGCCGCTCCGCCTGACCTATGCAGGGCAACCCAGAGACCCCTGCCCTTCCTTGCCGGGCAGCCCCCATCCTAGTTCCAAGGAAAGGAGGGCTCAGCCCAGCCTCAGCCAATCCCCACCTCCCGGCTCCGCCCCACCTAATGTCACTCAGTGGAACCTGTCAATGGGGAGGTTTTAAGAGACAGATTTATGTCTCCCCCGAACACACACACACACACGCACACGCGCGCACACACGCACACATGCACACACACACACGCACATACTCATACTTTGTTTTTAGCGAGCAGGAGCTCAGTGCCATTCAGAGCCAATGGAATGACTGACTGGCTAAGGAGCGGTGTGGCAAGGCCAGAACACCTAAGGTGACAGTGGCCCCTCAGCCCTCGGAGCCACAGCTCCAGGCGACGGTGCAGGTCCTGCCACCTCCCACGTGGTCCTCGGCCCAGCACATGGCGCCGTACCCAGGAGGCCGTACTTGATCCTCAGGGAGCTGGTCCAGAGGCGCCCCCGCTGCTGCAGCCGGCCCAGGGTGCGCAGCCCCACGAGCCCCGGCACAGAGAGCTCGCCAGCCAGGACCGCCACCTGCAGCCCGTCCTCTGCCTTCTTCTCCAGCAGCACTGCGGGGACAGTGGGCAGGGAGCGGGACAGGCGTGGCGTGACTGTGGCCCACCTCCCGGGGACTGACACCCCACCCCCAGCACCAGGCAAGGAAGGGGAGTGGGAACCACCCCGGGGACCTGGGATGAGGGGCTCCTGGGAGAACCAATGCCTGAGTCTCCCCCGAGGAATGCTGACACCGGGGCCACTGACAGCGTTATCTGCACTGTCGGTGGCAACCCCAAAAGTCACTTCTGTGAGTCCAGACCAAAGGTTTTTAAATAAAGTAGAATGAAATACGACAGAATGGAACAGAAATGACGGTGCCTCGTGGGTCATCTGGTAAATTTCACTTCCTGAAACTCGCTTCTGTTCCCCTGGCAGTCAGCCAGGTCGCACAGGCACAGCCCTGCCCGTTAAAATATCCAAAGTGCCCAGGCCAGGTGGTCAGCGGCCCCAGCCCCAACATCATTCCCTTGGAATCTCCCAGAACACCCCACGAGGAGCATAGCCAGGGGGCTCTACCCCAGCTCGGGCACCAGGGCGGGCATCTGCTCAGACTGGTCAGTGCCCAGGCCAGGCCATGTGTTCAAGATTTAAACAGTGTCCCGTGCAATTTAGGTCAAAATGCAAAATGTATTTGGTTTTTTGGGGGTTTTTTTGGTGAGGCAGATTGGCCCTGAGCTAACATCTGTGCCCATCTCTCTCTATTTCATATATGGGACGCCACCACAGCATGGCTTGATGAGTGGTGTGTAGGTCTGTGCTCAGAATCCGAACCCGCGAACCCCGGGCCACCAAAGCGGAGCACACGAACTTAACCACTACGCCACCAGGCCGGCCTCCAAAATGTGTTTTTACATATTGTGTAATGCGAGTCTGAATCAAAACAGGCCCAAAACTGCTGTTTTCTGGTTCATGGGGGGCGGTCAGCGTGTTGGAGGGGTATCTGGGGGATCATACGGAAGCTGTGAGCAGACACAGAGCCCGGCTTCTTCCTTAGGTGGGATGTTGACACTGGCAGCTTGGGCTGACAGAGACCACAAGCGAGGCACGCAGCCCTCCCCCTCCTGTAGCCTGGCCACAGAGCAGAAGGTGTGGCAGGAAGGGGTCCCTCCTCCTACCTGACAGGTGGGCCTGGGTGCTCAGCAGGTTGCTCAGCGACACGGAGAAGGCCAGCTTGCTCCCCGGCTGCCGGCTGAGGTTTCCAGCGAGGACCACAGGGCTGCCCGCTGTCACCAGCTTCACCTCCAGCTGCGCCTCCAGCCACTGGGCCTCACCGCCCGCTGCTGGCCGCACGTCGCTCCGGCCCTGGAAAGGCCCCAGCATCAGCTGAGGGGACGGGCTCGGCCAGCAGGCCTGGTCCTGGCCACAAGAACCGGGACTGGACAGAGGGCAGGGGACGGACGGAGTTTAGCCAATGGCCTTCTAGGCTGATCCTTCTCCAATTTCTTAAACAGGATTTTCTTCAAAATAGGGAGTCCGTGTTACCAATTCAGACGTAAATATGAAGGACGCTTCCTCTCTCCCTCTCACCCCTCCCTCGTCCAATCTGTCAGGGACTCTGGTCAGCTCTCCCTGCAGAATATTCCGGGATCTGACTACTTCAGCCACCTCCACCACTGCCCCGGCTCGAGACCTGGTCTTCAGGCCTGCGTCACTGCGACATCGTCCCCCCAGCTCGCCCGGCTCCTGCCCTGGCCCTGCCATCTGTTGGCCTGGTGATGGGAGCGACCCCTTCAAGTCACATAGGATCATGACATGCCCATCTTTCTCAGGGTAAAAGCCCAAGTGCTTGTGAAGACCAAGGAAGCCAGGACTTTCTCTGGACGTCAGTGGTGCAGACCTGGCCAGACGAAGGCAGAGCTGCCCATGGGAGGATACTGGTGGGGGGACACAGGCACAGCCCGCAATGCTCTCCATAGCTTGGGGTTTTCTGGGGAACCCCATAAGCAATTGCAGCGGTCGTCTTTGATGGCCCCCACTGACTGCAGCCATATCCACAGATCTCTCTGTTGGCCGCCAGCTGATCCTTTTTAACCAAAAGTTGTAAACACGACCTCCCTGTTCCCAGACCGCCTGCTACTTTATGCTCTCTCGTAAATCCTGTTTTCACTTTTGCTCCTTGACAACAATCACAAATCATTGTCTTCTGATTACTCTTTGGCAAGACCTTACATGATCTGTCCTCCCACCTCTCTGTTCCCTCCCCTATTCTGCTCCAACCACAAGGGCCCTCATGCTGTGCTTCTAACACTCCAGGTACCTTCCTACCCCAGGACCTTTGCACATGCTGTGCCCCTTACCTAGAATGCCCTCCCCCCAGAGAACCACATGGCTCTCTTCTGCACATCCTTCATGTCTTTGCTCAAAATTATCTTCTCCATCAGGCTTGTCAGCTTATTAAAACTAAAGCCAATTCCACACCCTTCCTCTCACATAACTTCAGACCCCTGTACCCAGCTCAGTGATTCCCTTTTTCTATAGCACTTATACCCACCTATCACCATACAGGTTGCTTATTCATTTTACTTATTTTCTCCCACGAGAACGTAAGCTCCAAGAGGAGAGAGGTTTGTGTGTCTCTTTCATTGGGCTGTCTTCCCAGGACCTGGCACATTGTGGGTGCCTGATAAAGAGTTGTTGAATAAATGAATAAAGATGCTATACAGATTTCATTCCCCTCCTTGGTCTCCCAGTCTCCCTCAAAGGTAACGACTGTGCGCAGCTTCCCGTGCATCTTCAAGAGAAGCATGGGCCTACACAAGTCTGTTTGTACGTATGTGAGTATGTATGTGTGTGCGCACACGTGTGCACACGAGCATACATACGCAGGCTCCCCCTTACACAAAATCAGATGCAGGCTCTCCACTCTGCTCTGCTTCTCTCACTTAGTGGCGTGTCTTGGTGACAGGTTTCTCTGGTCCCTATCAGAGGCTGCTCGGCGGTGGCCCTAGTGCAGCCTGTGAACAGGGTGACTGCAGAATTTCTCACCCAAACCAGGACACTTAACATTAAAAAGAACACTGGTCATAACTGAGCCGGGTCAACAGGTGTAAACCGGGGCTCTCCAGGCAGCCGGGACCTCGGGACGCCCATCACTGCACACCGGGGGAGGGGCGCTGAAATCTAACACTCTCCCCCTTGCCATTCTTAAACCCCGTCAACTTGGAGCTGAGGTGAACCCCGCTTTGCTGCTCTGTGTTCCTGAGCTCACGTGCCTTGGCTCCCTTATCTCATACGCGCTTACCAAGAGGACTGAAGGAGTGGCCCCAGGCCCAAGGCCACCTGCGTCCCCCCTCCCAGAACAGGCTTTGGAAAGTTCCAGAGCCCCAGCTGTTACCGTGACTGTGATGGGCCTGGGGCAGCCAGAACTGGAGTTTGTCTAAAGGCAAATGTTTCCAGCTGCGGACAGCCCTCTGGAGAACGGCAGAAAAGTCTGCGGGGAGGGGAGGCCATTAGCATGTGTGCATTCAGCAAACACCTGGAGGCTCCAGGGCTCCCGGGGGTTCTGGAATGATCTGTAGTCTCAGCAGTCAGGCAGCTGGGGCTCTGGGAGGAAGACGCTCTCCCCTGACACTTGGTCATCTCCCCACCCGGGCAGGAAGCTGATCTGGGAGCAGAGGGCGTATTTATGCAGCAAAAATTCCAGCCCCGGCTCCAGGTTCTCAAGTCCAGACTCTCTGAGAAGATGCTGGAAACCAAGGCAGAATCGCCAGACTCACTGCCTAAGGCACCCTGAGGTCCTGCCGGGCAGGAGTGGGTCTAAAGCTGCCGTTTTTACCCTTTGAGGAGTCACAGAGCTGCCTGAGCACCGGATGGAAGGTCTAAACCCTCTCCCCAGAAGGTACGATTCTGGGGAGACACAAAACTTCTGTCCGATTGCGAGGACTTCAGGGGACCCAGAGTCCCAGCCAGGTACCCGGGCTGAGAACCTTGGAAAGTACCTACTAAGAGAAAAACACACACAACCTCTGCTCCGGGCATTCCACTGCTGGAACTGACCCTGCAGACAAGGGTGCTCACGGCGACACATTTATAAGACCGAAAACCCGGGGAAAACACAAGAGCCCTTCACTACGGAACAGCTAAATAAACTCCACCCCATCGACTAGGGCGCAGCCTTTCAAAATATACGAGAGACACTTTCATTTTTAAAAAGGTGGGGGGAAATACATTGATACCTATTTGCTGGTTGTGGGCACAGATTTTCTCAGAGGAATCATAAAAAATGAACAGCTTTGGGGAGGGGTCGAAGGGAGAGTTTTTAACTCTATACTCGTGCTAACCAAAAGAACTTTCTGCAACGATGGAAAAATTCTTGAAAAGTGGCTAGTGCAACTCAGGAAGCGCATCTTTAATTTTCTTTAATTCTAATTCATTTAGACATGTTGGCCACTCAGTTCTATAACGTTTCATATCTTTTGAACTTTGAATCATTTAAATGTATTACCTATTTTTTTAACAAAATAAAATTTAAATTGTACCAGCACGTGCTGGTACAAAAAGTTTGCCCGGATACGTTTTGGAGTAAAAAAAAAAAACAAAGAGAAAACAAAAAAAGAGTATGATCTTTTCATGTAAAACAAACAAACAGAAACTAAACTCAAAACTAAAAGGTTTTGCAAATCTGCTGTATTATGGTTTGAACTGTGTCCCCCCAAAAGGTGTTGAGGTCCCAGCCCCCACACCTGTGAATGTGACCTTATTTGGAAATAGGGTCTTTGCAGATGATCCACTTAAGACGAGGGTGGGTCCTAATCCAGTGTGACTGGTGTCTTCACAAAAAGGGGACGTTCGGACACAGACACACAGAGGGAAGACGATGGGAAGACACAGGGAGAAGACCGTGTCTACAAGCCAAGGAATGCCTGAGGCTACGAGAAACTACGAAAGAAGCCTAGAACAGATTCTCCCTCACAGCCCTCAGAAGAAACCAACCCTGCCCACACCTTGATCCTGGACTTCCAGCCTCCAGAACCGTGAGAGAGAAATGTCTGCTGTCTCAGCCACCCAGTTTGGGGTACTTTGTTACAGCAGCCCTGGGAAACGAATACAGATTTCTTGGTGTGTGCATTGACGCTTCTTCGGGAAATTTGGGGACTGGCATGTTGTAACTTGCCATTTTATACCTTTCTCTGCTCTGAATTTTTTAAAGCGTGTTCCTGTGTTACTAATATCATCAATTTTTGACATCAGTGGTGGTGAGATTTGAGCCCATTTTTTTCTTCTTTATACCCTTCTGGGTGACAAGAATGTTATTGGTAGGTGACAGGAGAAGAACTGCTAAAACTCCAAACGAGGGGGCGATTCTTAGGCAGGGGCTCTGGGACGGGGGCGGAAATGCCGGGGAGGGTGGCCGGTGCTGACACAGGTGGCCGAGGACGCGGAGCAAACCTTGATGTAATAGACGTCCCTGTCGTCCAGGATCAGTTCCAGGTGACCCACGCAGGCACTCGGGAGAGTCTCGATCTTTCCTGGGGGACAAGACAAGAGTTTAGAGACGGAGGCTCAGCGTCGGGGATCTGCCCCCGCGTGCACCAGGTACATCCTACTGGTTTCCTGTCTGGTCGCCCGTACACAGGGCTGGACTGAGGGCTGACCCTGAAGGTCGCAGGGGGATCCACGAGCGAGCACGCAGCGGGTGCCCGGCCCTGGGTCTGGCACATGGTGAGGGGCACAGCCAACGGGCCGGGCACCGTCATTACCGTCCAGCTCGATTTTCTTCCTGGGATGGAGAAGCTTCAGCCGGAACTTCCTCTGGGGCAGGCTGTAGCTGACGTCCACCTCGACATCCCTGGGCACCTCCGACTTGGGCGTGCCCATGAAGAGGCGGGCGGAGGCTTCTCGAGGGAGCCAGCTGTCCTTCTGGAAGCACAGTGGAGTCTTCAAGATCAAGAACCGCGTCCCGGTCCTGAGGTTCACTCCTCTTCCCGAGAGGGGACCCCCACCCACACTGTTCAAGCACTTAGTGCTTACGCTCATCCTTGACCTCACGAGACAACCAAACCAGGAAGGTGGGGACCTAAAACAGTATCGTGGAGCAGAGCAGAGCCCCGCAGGACAGCCCAGGAGCACGTCGACAGGGTCCGAATTCAGCCGGCAGACGGCCGGGAGGGAAGCAGGCGTCGCACAGCGTCGGCGCCCTGCCCAGGCCCCTCCGGTCCCGCAGCCAGCTCTGCCCGCTCAGCTCCCAGCTCGCACGCTGTGCTGTGAACGCCTGGCGCCACGGGCCCCAGGACACTGCTCTCCGGCCCAGGAGTGACAAGCATCCCAGCTCGCAGCCTCGAGGGGCTCAAACTCCGGGATGTAACTCAGGCTCCCCAGGGAGCAGGCAGCTAACTTCACCTGACATCACCCCCTGCTCAGCTCCTTCCCCTGACCCGTCCTGATTTCTCCTCCTGGAGCCTTTTCTTAATCCCTTGTACCCAAATCCTTGGCTCAGGTCTGCTGCTGGGAAAACGCAGCCTAAGACGCAAGCCCCCTTTAACATCCTGCGTTAACACACATTCATCCACACCAATAAACGTTCACTACCGTGTGTGGGGCACAGCTGTGGGCACAGGGAGTACCACTGAGGGTTAGATACACCAAGTCCCGCCCTCACGGGGCCCGCATTCCAGAGAGGGAGGCACAGGACCGCCAGACACAAAAGGAGGTAAGACGGCAGCTGGTGATGGGTGGCCGGCTGACAAACTCAGGGGGTACGGGGCCCTGAGAGGGTGGTCAAGGAAGGTGCCTCTGAGGAGGGGCCATTTGAGGAGACTGAAGGAAGCAAGGGAGGGAGTCAGGTGGATGTCTGGGAAGGAGTGTTCCACGCAGAGAAAACCACCAGTGCAAAGGCCCTGGGGCAGCAATGTGCTTGGCATAAATAAAAAGGGGGTCAGTGTGTCTGGAGAGCAGTGAGCTTGGTAAACAGTCAGGGAGATGGGGAGGAGAGGCTGGCAGGGCTGGGTCACTGACGGCCTGTTGGTCAGGGCATCTGGCTCCTACTCAGAGTGACGGGAGCCACTGGAGAGTTCTGAGCAGAGGAGACATGATCTGTCTAGGATTTTGGAAAGTCCACCCGGCTGCTCGTGGAGAACAGATGGTAAGGAGACAAGAGTAGAAGCAGGGAGATCAGACAGGAGGCTGTTGAGTGCCCATTCTGTGCCAGGTGCCGGGGACACGGGAGTGAGAAAAACTGGATCTGTTCCCAGGCACTGAGTGACTAGTGGGGAAGACAGATGTTAACCAACTAACTTCAGTAACAAACATAAAAGTGACCTAAGGGAAGGAACATGGTCTTATTAGAGCAAGTAACAAAGGAACATGACTACTTTGGGGTAATTAGGGCAGGCCTCACTGAGGAGGTGACCCCTGAACTGAGATATAAAGATTGATTCAGAGTTAACAAGTCATAGAACCCCCATGAGCATGTGCAAGGGTCCTGTGGCAGGAGGGAGCCTACAGCAGGACCAGCCCAGGCCAGCCCAACAGCTCCAGAGAGGAGCCCATGTCCTTATGAGTGAGCCGCAAGGCTGATCCCTGAGTAGCAGACCTAGGGAGACCCAGAGCCTGGCTGGGAAGGAAGGGGTAATTCCACAGGGCCTACCCAGGGGCCGAGGGTATAGGCAGCTTCCAGCAGATACTGTTGGAGCCCGCGGTCCTGCTTCCTCAGCGTCACAGCCGCAGACACAGGCAACGAGAGCAGGAAGGGCTGACCAGCGGCCGGCCAGGTCACCTCAGTGCACAGCTGCCAGCCCCAGGTGCGGGCCACTGCGGAGACAGGGGAGCGGCAGCATGGGTCAGAAGAGAGCCAGAGGGCTCCGGGCGGGGCCCACGGCCACTCACCTCAGCAAAGAAGGAGCCTCTCTCTTTCCTTGAGAGAAACAGTACTGCGTAGACACTAGTCGTAGGAGGCAGTACCGTGTGGACCACACTTTCCCAGCCTCAGCACTAGTGACACAGCGGGCTGGATAATCCTTTGCTGTGGGGCTGTCCTGTGCACTACAGGACATTGAGCAGCATCTCTGGTCTCCACCCACTAGATGCCAGCAGCACCCCCACACCAGTTATGACAACCAAAAATGTCTCCAGACACCGCTAAATGTCCCCTGGGGGGCAAAATCGCCTGTGGCTGAGGACGTCCAGTGTAGACTTTCAGAGTGAGAGGCCCCACTGTGTAGAACACAGGGCTCCAGAGCAAGACTGACCGCCTGGGTCCGCCTCCAGCCCTGCCACTTCCCTGCTCTGTGACCTCGGGCAAATCACTCAACATCTCTGTGCCTCGGTGTCTCTCATCTGTAGCCTGGGACCGATAACAGTCCCTGCCTCCTGGTGCAGCTGTGAGGGTGACCAGGTCAGCAAGCGTTTAGGACGGCGCCTCGCCTAAAGTAATACATTCATTTAAATAAGCCTCTCCCAACCTTACTCAAAAATGACTGCAAGATCCTCATCTCTTTGGTGTATTTCCTTCCCGTCCTTTTCCAATTTTGTTGCCTTTCACCTGATGTTATTATCAAAGACTTGTCTTGTGTTATTAAAATACCTCCTTCATTATAGGGTTTAAAGTGACGGGATATCCCGATGGTTTACTAAACCAGGAGTTAGCAAAGTGTTTCTGTAAACGGCCAGATAGTCACTATTTGAGGCTCTGCTGGTCGCACGGTCTGTCACGACTACCCACTCTGGTGGCAGGACAAAAGCAGCCACAGCCAGTAGTGAACGATTGGCCGTGGCTATGTACCAATAAAACTTTATTTGTGGACACTGAAATACGAACTTCACAAATTGTTCACATGTTATGAAATCTTCCTCTGATTACTTTTCAATCATTTGAAAATGTAAAAATCTTTACTCAGCTCACAGGCCCTGGTAATGAGCGGTTGGCCTACTGTTGGATAGTTGAGTTGTTTCCTGATTTTGGCTCTTGTAAATAACGATGCAATGAACATCTTTGCGCATAGAGCATTGTAAAGCAATTTTGGTTTCTTTTCATCGGGTAGAGTTCTAGAAGCAGAATCATTGAGTTAAAGGGTATAAACTCTGGAATTTGGAGGTGGTGTCCTTCCCCGCTGCCCCTGGGATGCCCTTCTTGGGACGATGACTGGAGGCCCAGCTGCCTACCTTCCTTGTGGGTACAGGATTGGGCCTCGGAAGGGCTGTGAACGTGACCGAGTGTCTGCATGCCATCCCCAGTGACGAGATACAGCTTAGAGCTGGTGGGAAGAGGACAGTCCCCGACAAGTCATTTTCATGCATTCATTGGACAAATACACCCTGAGCCACCAGAACTTGGCACTGGGGCCAATTCCACCATGAATAGGACAGGCCTTTGGGGAGCTCACACTCTGTCTGGGGAGACACTCCATGAACACAGAGGGCGACAAGCCCTATGAGAAATCTAAAATGGGGGACAGCATGGGCACGGAGTCTGTCTTGGGGACAGGGCAGGCCTTCTTTAGTGCGGGATGTGGGGCTCTCTGCAGACATAACATTTGAGCAGAGACTCAAAGGAAGAGAAACAGCCAGCATTCCAGACAGCGGGAACAGCAGGTGCAAAGGCCCTGGGGTGGGAATGAAGTGGCCTCTTTAGGAGCACAGAAAGAAGGGTGGTGTGAGGGAGTCAGGATGGGGGGGGGGCGTGAGGGAGGGGCAGGAAGTAGTGTCAGGAGACCCGTGAGAGGGGTGGGCAGCGCCCCCATCGGGCAGGACAGTCATGTAGACCTGGGTTATCCTAGAAGCAAGTGAGGGGTTTTAAACAGTAGTGGGGTATGTATGATTGGTCTTAATTGACATTTTAAAGGACCCCACTGGCTGCTGTTGGGAGAAGGGCCTGGAGGGCAGCAGGGGGACAACAGGGAAGGGAGCAGGTCGGGGAGGGGGCAGGCTGGCTTCCCCCCTGTGTCCTCTGAAATCACTGCTCTCCAAGCGTCACCTCCCCAGGGGGCTGGGGACAAGCCGGCCCCAGGAGGGACCCCCATAGAGAGCTGAGGAGTATGGGAGTACCCCACCCCACTCTCAGCCGCTCTCAGCCCCCGTCACAGACACGCCCACCCCACACTGACACACACACACGTGTGCACACAGACACACACTTACATACACAGACACATCCCACTCACACGCACACACTCTCACAGACACACACATTCACATACGCAGACCCACAGGCACACCCTTACGCACACACATGCTCACGCAACACACACACACTCACACACAGGCGGTGGCGCACACGCAGTCACAGATACACACTCACAGACGCGCCCACAGGCCATCAGGCCGCACTCACGCACACGCACACACTCACGGCGCCCCCCGCGGGCGCAGGGTGCCCACCTGAGGCTGAGCAGGTCCACGGCCTCCTCGGGCGCGTTCAGATGCGCCCGGAGCTCCCGGCCCCTCCGCGCCTGCATCCCGCCGTCCAGGCCGGCCGCGCCGCGGATGCCGCTCACCCACCGCAG